ATGTGGTATATATATATACACACACACACACACACACACACACACACACACACACACTGGAATATTATGCATCCATCAAAAGGAATGAGATCTTGCCATTTGCAACGACGTGGATGGAACTGGAGAGTGTTATGCTGAGCGAAATAAGTCAATCAGAGAAAGACATGTATCATATGACCTCACTGATATGAGGAATTCTTAATCTCAGGAAACAAACTGAGGGTTGCTGGAGTGGTGGGGGGTGGGAGGGATGGGGTGCCTGGGTGATAGACATTGGGGAGGGTATGTGCTATGGTGAGCGCTGTGAATTGTGTAAGACTGTTGAATCACAGATCTGTACCTCCGAATCAAATAATACATTATATGTTTAAAAAAAAAAAAAGAAGAAGAAGAAGATAGCAGGAGGGGAAGAATGAAGGGGGGAATCAGAGGGGGAGATGAACCATGAGAGATGATGGACTCTGAAAAACAAACTGAGGGTTCTAGAGGGGAGGGGGGTGGGAGGATGGGTTAGCCTGGTGATGGGTATCAAAGAGGGCACGTTCTGCATGGTGCACTGGGTGTTATCTGCAAACAATGAATCATGGAACACTACATCAAAAACTAATGATGTAATGTATGGTGATTAACATAACATAATAATAAAAAAAAAAGTTACTACAATTCCACAGAACTATCTTTCGGTAATGGTTCTAATTACAACTTTAAAATAGAATCACATGGAGGTAGGCCCTGCAAAAGACAAGAAATGGAGGAAACTAACATGTCACACATTAGCACTGCTCTTTGTCTACTTTTGATTAATCTAAGTATGTTTTAAAGCACTTCTTAGGGGGAACCAAGATGTGTAATGTTTACGCTACCACACCCCTAAATCTTCTGATTCTCAGCTGTGGGCCATTAGGTTTATATTATTCAACTCAGGCATACTTGGAAAATAAAGCTAAAGGACTGACAAATTTGGAAGATATAAAATGGATCCTATATTTGTGCAAGTCTAAATTTTATTCAACGACTATAAAAAGGGGGAGATTAAAGAAAGAAAGAAATCATAACACTCCCAAAACAGTCCCATTTTACAAACTGGGATGTCCAGCCTGGTTTGGTACTGGCTTGAGGCCACTGAGGTACTTACATGGCAGAGTCAAGAAGCAACCCAAGACCAACTGACTGACTCTGGATTGTATGCTCCTAACCAACCATTATGCTATATTGCCTCTTAATGCCTAGAATATTCTTAAATGTAGCATTTTTGAAATGTGTTCATTCATATATGGTGATGGCGTGTCTGTGCCAAGAATTTCACATTAGTTGCTGAGGATGCAAACAGTTGAAAATGACCAGGTTCCTGCCCTTTGGAACTTACATTCTAAATGTACAGAATTAGGCTTGCATAAAACAAAGAATAATTGTAGAAATAAATAAAATTAATGGAGAGGACTCTCTTCACCTAAGTTCTCCATGGAAAGCTTGGCCAGGGATTACAGGCAGGTAGTTTATTTTGGGAAGTGACCCCAGAGAAGAGAAGTGGGGACTACAGAAAGGGAAAGAAGGAAGGAAGAAAAGCTGAAACCAGGGCAGAGTTTCAAGTTGGTCACTCCCGTGGTCCATGGGGTTGATCCTGCTGGGACACTAAGGAACTGTGTAGAATGCTCCTCAAAACTGTCCACCCAAGGGACAGAAGAGAGAAGCATTGGCCCATCAGCTTCTATTGGTCCTGGGCTATCAATTCCCGCCCAATCCCAGGCTGCACATGTGAAGGTCCTACTGCAGCATCAGAAAAATCCTGGAGTCTCTGGAACCCTGGAGCAGAAACTGAGAGAAGCTAAGTGCAGTTGAAGCTATGAGGTGATACCTGAACAAGGCTGTTGCCACCACAATGGCTGGAATCAAGGCTTTGGTGGGTGGGTCAGAGTAGGCCTCTCTGTGGAGAAGGCTTCAGGGCTGAAATCTAAGGATAGAAGAGCTAAGAATAGCAAGAGCTGGGAGGAGAGCATTTCTAGGCACCGGAAACAGCATGTTAAAAGGCCCTGAGAAAGAGCTTGCATCTTTAAGGAACCAAAAAATCAGAGTAGCTGTGGTAAGGAAGGGGGTGAGGCAGCTCAAGATGTGATAATAAAAAGGACAGAGGCCAGATCATGCAGAACCTTGGAGAGCATGATTAGAATTATATTCTAAGTTAATATGAACTCATTAAAGGGTCATAAAAATGTACCTCCTAATCTCCAAGAACCACAGGTATGAAGCTGAGAAGTCATGCTGCTCTGAGAAGGACAAATGGGTTGACAGCACGACCAACCAAAGATCCATACTGGGGCCAAAAGTGAAGGCTTTGTTCCAAGTTGGGGCAGGGGTGATGGCTTGTCTTGGGAACCTACTGCCAGGTTCAACAGGCAAGAATCCAGTCATCAACACATTGTCATGAGAACAGCTTAGAACCAAAGCTGGGATGGGACCAGGAGCAGGATGGATAGATACTATTTGGGGAACTCTTAGGCATCAGGGTGCCTTAATTTCCTTTGTCTGGTGTTAGCATTGATCATCATTTTAGAAAAAAAAGTCTCAAGTCTCCAAGACCTGGACGAACAAGAATTCTGAAAGCAACTCTGGGGCACCTGGGCAGCTCACTCAGTTAAGCGACCGACTCTTGATTTTGGCTCAGGTCATGATCTCAAGGTCATGGGATCCAGCCCCCTGTGGGGCTCCATGCTCAGCAGGGAGTCTGCTGGAGATTCTCTCTCTCCTCTCCCTCTGCCCTTCCCCCACTCTAAAATCAATCAATCAATCAGGAAAGAAGGGAAGGGAAGGGAAGGGAAGGGAAGGGAAGGGAAGGGAAGGGAAGGGAAGGGAAGGGAAGGGAAGGGGAAAGGAAAGGAAGGGAGGGGAGCTCCTGACTCTCCGCGTGAGGTGCATTTTCATCCTCCCCTGAGAAGTCTCTCTGATTTCTGCTGCAACTCCTGTGCTGGGCCCAAAGGGAGGCATTAACATTCTGATCCAAGCCTCAAAAAAAACCCCTTTCCCTTGATATATTTGTTGAACAGGAATTGCTTGTCTATGTTTATTTAAACATATTTGCCACATGATTAATGAGTAACATGAAGCGCTTACACCTGGGGATCATTAAACCTGTCATTTCCATTTCCCTTGCCGGTCTGACCTTTCCTTAGCTTACAGGTACAGCACTGTATATCCTATCCTGTCTCTGTAATACCTTTTATGGTTGTGTTACTCAGAGTAGGCTAGATGTTAACAAGAGTAAAATTCCAGTGGCTTAACGCAACAGGTTTATTCTCATTTCTGTCACAGTCCCATGCAAGATTGCAGTGAAGTTCCACGCAGTCATTTCGGGATCCAGGCCCATTCCTTCTGACAGTTCCACCTTCCTCTGAGTCCTTGGGATAATCTCCATTTGGCCAGCAGAGAAGCAAAGAGAGCTCATGGGAAAGGTGCCTGGTCTTCAGTGAGGCACCCTGACTCTGATGAGAACTAGTCTCATCTCCCAGCCCTGCTTTTGCCCTGATGCACAGGTAGTAAGAAGCACCATGAGCGGGAAATCCAAAAAGAGGGGACCTCGGATACCTCACTGGGCACCAGCAGCCTCCACCACAGTGAGGAAAGAAAACAAAGCACCTTCTAACTTCTATGACAAATACGGAAACTGTACATGTGCTGTATCATATAATCAAGGTCTGGGACAAAGAAAAAGGCTTGGCTTCCTAAAATCCATATGGCAACAATACAGAGTACTCAAGTACATTTAGGTGTCTCTTTCTCTCCATGACCCTATAGTTGTGAAACTTCTGAGCCTGCAGAGGTTTTTTGTTTTTTTGTTTTTAAATTAACCTTTCTTTTTAGTTGTAGTAAAATATATATAACATAAAATTTACCATCTTAACCATTAATTGTACATCTCAGTGTTAAGTACATTCACATTGTTGTGCTACTAATTGCAAAAACTCTTTCCATAACTTCAGAGTAATTAACATTCAAGAAAACTAATAAATCTAAGTTCGCAATTCCCCACATAAAGACTGTAAACACTTCTTAAGAGTTCTGTGAGAGTACTGTTATTTTAATTTAAGATCAATTTATAGTATACTGATCATAATTAAAGAGTATTACTTATTCTTTTGTTTGTTTTTCAATTGTGATAAAATTTATGACTAAGCCTTAGGTGGGGCCAGAGGATCTGCATAAAGTGGAGAGGATGTAGAGAGCTCCATAATTGAATTGATGTCTGATCCACCACTTGAATAAATTCTTACCTGACTTTCCACAGTTCTTGCTTCATAACATGATAAACTATTTGAACTATAACTCATCTGGTTTCTGCAAAGACCACCGTAGGCTTCTCTCACACTGCCCTGAATTCAAGTTTGTATATAATCCTTTACCGGGCTGCACTAGCCTGTGGGTACAATGGAACTACCCCCCACTGCAATCATCTGAACTCACCCTCTCTTTGTCCCATGTTTCAGCTCACCTCCAAGTGTCACCCAATAGGGAGTCAGCAAGCAGTCCCTCAGGCAGGCTCCCCATTCTCCTGCTCTAGACCTCCTTTAGGTGGGCTCTTCTGGTGCCTCTCACCACCAGTGTCTCCACTGCTGCTACCTGGTCCCAGGGACAATGCTAGGATCCATGTCCTGGGAGCCATCACCTAGGCTATGCTCCCCAGGCTGTGACTCTTCCTGATGGACAGGCTGTTCTTCCCTGGGATCAAAGCCTGACCATGATCTGGGCATACCTGCAGAGCAGGATTCCCTTCCATATTTCCTAGAAGCTAGAAAGCCCTCTCCCCATAGGACTAATCTCTACCCATGTGGTGAGCCTGGAGAATAGTCACTGGTTTGACCTCTTTTTCCCTCCTTCACTCCAGCAACCCCCAAGTATTGAGCACAAACCTTACCCCTGTTGGCTCTCTTTCCCCAAAGCCAAGAAGCTCAGGGAGAGGGTTCCCTATACTTCCAGCCCCATCAGTCCTTCATGCAGTCTCTGACATGTCTGAGTCTCAAGTTCATGTGCTTTTTGGCCTTTCCTGGACATCATAAGGTCTCTGAGGACAGATGAGCTTGTGTCTTTGTGTGCACAGCACAGAGAGCACCACAACTATTAACTGCCCGACAATGAATGAGTAAAAGGACAAAGATGCACACTACAGTTTCCTTGGTGGCCTAACCATTCCAAGACAGTAGAAAGGTGTCATATTGTTTCTAAAACAATTGTTTTTATACATATAGGTGTTTTATTTATACAACTAACTATGTTTCTGATCTCTCCAAATCTGACATTTTCCACTTTACAACTAGAGGTTAATATTCACCAGCACCATAGGCTGAAAAAGATGATCAGATTCCACCAGAATGATTATTTATGTTTTCTACTCAAATAATAACAATATTCCTTTTTAAAAAGTCCAACCAAGACTGCTCCTTCCATGTGCTGTGGCCCAAGCAACGATGGAGAGCCTGGTAACAGACACCTGAGTTCTTCACAATGTAGCAATGAATGATTCTTTTCTTTCTCTGTTTGCTGGTCTTTTCTAGTCTTGCCTTCCATTTCACAGCTTTGTTAAACATTCAGGTCAAGGTCAGAGCAAGGAACTATTTCAGGGTGGGAGGAACTGAATTTGGCTTACACAGGGCCTCTCCCCATTGAAAACACTTAGCACCCAGCCAAGGAGTCTGTCTCTAGATCCCAGCAGAGAAAAAAACAAAACCAAAAAACCTCCCTCAAGAAAATTTCAGTTTTGCTTTGTTTTGCCCCAGGCTAATCCTGCTTTGGGTTACAAGGCAGCAGTTCCTTGCAGAGGGGAAAGTACTAAACCTGAATTCTATTTCTAGCACTCACTCCAATGCTCCGTGACCTTATCCTGGCCACTTCATCAGCTTTGCCCCACACCCTGCCCCATCCTGGCTCCAAACTGCCACCCTCCGGCATTCTCTCCTTATGGTAGTGTTGTGTGTAAGTGCGTAACACTAGGGAACATTCTCTAAAACTTCAAACTCAAGTGCTCTTCGTTACAAGGAGCCACTAGTACCAACCAGAGCCTAAAGGGGTTGCTGGGAATGAGCCTCAAAAGTCTGGCTTCCAATACTTGTGACATAAAAGGTCTAAAACTGACCACTAAGGAGTGGGGACATGGGAATACACACTCTTCCCTGGGGGGTGGAATTCACTCCTTAACTGGGAGGCATGAAAACACCCACAAAATCCCGTACAGGAAGCCATGGCAAACCACTCTGTGCCCAGCCCACATTTTAGGGATTTACTCTGGTCTCATGGGAGCCATTTGTAGCCCTGGCATCCATAAGTTGTTGAAACAAATAAGCCTGGTCCTACTAGGGAGGGGAGAGGGGAAAAAAATTCCCTTTTGGAGATGCCAGTCTCAGTGTATTTTGTGAAAAGAAAAGCGATCCTGGGAAATAGTAGATGCCACTTTTCCAATCCTTTGTACAAACCATGCTTACACATGGCATTGCAGCCACGTTGCTGGGGGCAGTGCAGGCTTCCTTGAGAAGGCACACTCTGGAGGAGAACAGCTGAATCAAAGAGTGACTTTACCTCTTAGGCACTGTGTGACCTTGAGCGCCCCTAACATGTCCTGGTCTCACTTGCTTCTATACAATGGAGTTTCTACATGGACCTTGATTGTATTTCTTTTTTTTTTTTTTTAAATATTTTATTTTTATTATTTATTTGACAGAGAGACACAGCGAGAGAGGGAACACAAGCAGGGGGAGTGGGAGAGGGAGAAGCAAGCTTCCTGCGGAGCAGGGAGCCCGATGCGGGGCTCGATCCCAGGACCCCGGGATCACGACCTGAGCCGAAGGCAGTTGCTTAACCGACTGAGACACCCAGGCGCCTGGGGACCTCAAATGAGAAAATGCCTCTACAATGTTTTTAGCTCTGTGTCTGAACGTGCCAATTACTTTATGAATGTTACCTATTAACAATAATAATAATACTAAGGCTCATGAAGAAAAATGTCATAGCCAGGGAACTCATGAAAGATGACCAAAAGAACTGATCCTATTAACCCCTTTTGGCCCTAATGCATCCTAATAGATACTTCTTTCTTAGCACCTATACCATGTCATTGTACTCTTCCTATACTTGTTTATATCCCCACTACTCTGAATCTCCTCTCTTTCATCACTTTATCACAATATCTCTCTAGCACATTTCCTATAGAATCTTTGTTGAGCGAATGGAAAGTCAAGTTATAAATTAATGAGTGAAAGAGTAAACAAACGAAAGAATAGTCTTTGGAAGAGAAAATTTGTCTCATTAAGCCAAAACAATTGTTTCCCACACAAATTATTTCTAGAAAAATAGCATTTTGCTTATTTATTATGAACTATTTTCCCTTTCCCTCCTCTGTCTGTCAGGAATGCCAAGTCCCAGATTCAGAGTAATTTGCCAAGAGTTGTTTAGGTGCTAAAAGTGTTAAACACAGTGTCTAAATCCATGAAAGATTTTTGATGGGATGAGTCCATTTCCAACCCTGTTGTGGCCTGCAGATGTGGAAGCTAGGAATTTCAAAATGGTTAAAAGGAAAGAGAGGTGGTAACTGCACAAATGAGCATCTTACTATGAAACTGTCTGGGTCTTTGAGGAGTGAACATCCCCAGCTTTCTAAGGGAAGCAGAGTGAAGCCAGTCTTGCCCGGATGCTTGCTCTTGTTCTGGCAAAGGGCTGTTGCAGCTCACTACAGAGATGATGCCAGGGGCCCAGTTTAGTTCATAGAACATTGTCCAATCCATCAGAACAATTGCAGTAGATATATTGACAAGTATGAGAATCAACTTCAGCAGTTTATCAACTAACAGCAGGCCATTATCTCAAATTGGAACTTATGAACTTATTCAAACCATTATTCAAGCTCGTTCAAATGAATCTGAGCTCCTACTAACAAGACTAGCTATATAACTTGCAAATCCAAGTACAAAATGAAAATGCAGAATCCTCTTCAAAACTTATTAAGCATCTCAGGATGCTAACAGCAGAACAGTAACCCAAGCATGGGTCCCCCTCTGAGCAAGGGACTTGTGCAATGGCACTGGTCAGAGGCTCTAAAACCAGCCTTGCCTGCTAATGACAACTTCATAAGTCAAGCACCAGCTATGTACAACTCCTCCACAGTAGGCCAGCTGCTGCAGCAGAAAAACAAAAAACCGACACCATTAAAACCTCCATGTCATCCCTCTCCAAAACTACCACACGACACTGTCACATAGCCTCCATCAGATGGCCAGTTCCCACTAGTGGTTTCCCTCTGAAAGTCTTCAGTGTTCATAAAGCAATTAAAAGATATCAAACACACACACACACACACACACACACACTGCATCTAAAGCCCTACAGAATTACCTCCCTAATATTTGCAGTTGGTGTTGAATGATGTGCCTGAGTGGGAGTGTCAAGTAGAAACATCACACATCAAAGCCAAAGAAGCTAAATTCAAGATTGCAAACCAAAAGCCCACGGAAACACTGTTAGGAGACACGCCCCCGAAGTCTCTGCCTCACACAGTAAGCTGCACAAGTAAATTGCTTTCTGAATATTCCCTTCAAAACTCGCGGTGGGGTGGGGGTGGGGGATAAATCCTGAAATGGCTGTAATTGCAGAGAGTGAAAAGAGAAGCTAAGATAACAGGCAGCAGGGGCGGAATTTCATTCTCGCTGGTGGATAGTTTGATAAGAAACCTGGATTCTGAGCGGCCGCACAATGGCCTATTTATCCGGCTCTCACGCACCACCCGCAGCCCCGGCTGGGAATCACGGGGGTGGCAGCCGTCCCCGGAAAACGGCGGCGCTCCGGCACAGGAAAGCCAGCTGATAAACTGATCTGCAGACAACGCTTCTTCCTTCCTGGGAAGCAGCCACAAAGGCAGCCAGCTGACCTCGGCCCAAAGCTGTTCCTCGGCCGAAGAGAGCTAGAGGTGGGAGGAGGGAGAGCGGCAGGGTACGGATGGGAAGAGGCAGGGAATCGCCGACCCCCCACCCCCCACCCCCCCACCCCCGGCTTCCCAGGCTTCCCAAAGTTTCCTTTGGCAAAAGCATCACACGGCGTGATTCCGGCAGAGCCCACGCTAGCCCAGCTCGGGCTCCGAGTCTCTCCAAGCGGGGCAGGCGGAACGGCGTCCACGTCCCCCACCCCCACCCGGCCCCTCCGCACCCGACCCCTCCGCCGCTCGGCGGCGGCCCATAGGCCCTTCCGGCCGGGGCGGGCTTGGCCGGGGCTGGGAACCAGTTTGGTGCGGGGAACGGGAACCAATTGGCAAGGCCCTCCCCGACAGTCCCCTGGGGTGGCCCCTCCCTACAGCCTTCGGTCAAAAGCAAAAAGAAACACAGACATTTGTGTCACCCTATTAAGCACACAGGGCTTTGAACGGTGCACCAGGCGCAAAGAGTTCTCATCCTCCCCTTGGCAGGGTGGCCGGGTAAATACAATAAAAAGCAGGCAGAAAGTTCCTAAAATTTCCTCCTGAACTTCCCTGGAGACAGAGAATCTTAACAGTTAATTTCTTTCCTTTTCCTCTCTCTTTCTTCTTCTTCTTTTTTTTTTCATGTGAAAACATCTTATTTTCATGTTATTTTTTAAAAAAAAAGACAATTAGAAACATGGGCAGGAGGTCAGATGGAGGATTTTGAGATGCTCCAGGCACTTCCCAGGAAGCTCTGTTTTGGGGAGAGTTGATCCAGCAGCTGGTCCCTGCTGCTCTAAGATGTGTGCTCTCACTTTTTCATTCCCCAAACAATTTGGTTTGGAGTCTTGAGAGCCTTGGAAAGAGCTGTCTGCAGAGGAAAAGTTCTGGAAAGGGCAGTCCCCCAGAGAGCAGGAACCCAGGGCAAGAGGAACTAGCTCTGTGAACTTGGGGACCTCTGCCTGCTGGCTTGGGGTGGGGGGTCTTCAGGCCTCCAGACCTCCAGGCTGCAAGTGGGGTGGTTAGCTGGGAGCCAGGATGCCCTTGATCTGCCTTCCAAATTGTACATGACTCCCACAGGGGACTAAAGGCATGGAGGGGGTCAGATCTTCAGCTGTTTGTATGGCCTGCAGCAGGAGGCACTATTTATCATCAGTTCACGGAAGCCCTACTCCAGGGGGCTCCAAGGAGCTCAATCTCTTCCCTCCAGGGAGGATCCTGGACCCCACATTCCATCTCCCAAACTTCTCTTACTTACTCAGTATACTGCCATCAACAGCATTGTCAGCCTTCTGGGCTTGAGCTCTGGAAGGAATTTCCTCCAATTTAGTACCTGCAGGGAAGTGCTTTGGAGAGCAGGATAAGGTATTCCATGCCTAAGGCCACAAGGTCTCTGAGTTGACTCTTCAATAAACATCCCTCTTTTCCAAGGGACAGAGTTGTCTCTTCACCTAGAGGAACAAAGAAGTTGCAGTAAGGACCCCTGATGTTCTAGGGTGTTTGGGAGACCTAAATTCATTAGCCCTACTAAGTAAGGCTTTCGTGACCTACCAGGAACTGCCTTCTAGTGAGCCTGAAGGTCCTGGGACCCTTCCAAACCCCCCACACGATTTCCCACATCTTGGGGTTTGGTAGAGTTCACAGCAGAGAAAGATGTGAGGGCAGCAAGCAGTGGTCACCTTTGGCCTGGAATGAACTTCTCTGGGGTTTTATATCCATCTATCCACTACGGGGCATCGTTTACTATAGTGCTTCAGGAAAATGAGAAGTACTTCTTTCCTAAGAATAAATTGAGAATCCTGTTTGAGATCCAGTTATTCATATTACAGTTTTGGACAATACAGAAAAGAATATGAACTGTGGTGACTATTTGCAGATGAAGGAGACTGCATTTGTAGGTCCTCAGTTTTACAATCTATTCATGATATCGATATCTTTGCAAAGACATCTGGGTAAAGTTAAACCATTCTCTGAACACTTGTTTAATAAGCTCTCACAGGAGCCTGTTCAGAAAGGCTGTTCTTTGCCTCCCAGACTCTCTCTTTGACTGTGGCTGTCCTCATACCCCCAATGGGACAATCCCTGAGAAGAATGAGCTCTAAGCATTCAACCCCATCCATAGCTGATGCCTCATCCAGTACCCTTGTCTCTGCCTTTATTGGATTGCAGACCTGACCTCTGACTCCCAATAGCTCTCTCTGTCTCCTGCTCCCACTCTGCCCTCTGCCCTCAGATCTAATGGCAGCCATGCAACTTCCCTGGTCTTGACTCTCCATAGTCTCCCTCAAGTCCTGTCCTTCTCAGTAGCTCCCATGTTATATCCATTGGCCTCTATGGCAGGTGCTTCTGGGAGGCCTGATATGCTCCTGCCTCCCAGGAGGGGATTCTGACATATGCTGCCCTTCAAGTTGCTTATAATAAAACATCAGACAGCAAATACCTAAGAGACTTCAAGATTGTGGTCAATTACTACCATGAGTAAATGCACAAGAATATCACAGTTCTCTTACAAGAAAGTGATTAGGATTCGAAACCATCTACATATAATATGTCCACAGAATGGCCTCTTGTTTAGACTTGGTCATCTTCAGTCTTCTATACAGTCGTCTCCTCTTTTCCCTCCCATTTCCCCACTGGTTTAGCAGAATGAGCTTTGCAAAGGGCAGAGTTAGTGCCTTCTTACAACTAAGGATTAAAAAGGCAGCAGAAAGATCCAGTCCCCAACCTACTGTCCCTCCAACCCACTGGTCAGTCTCTTCACCCCACTGGCCAATCTGCATCAGAAAGAATAGAATTCCAGCCACCAGAACTATTTTTCAACATCAAAGTGCTCCTACTGCATACAAAGTAATGTAGCAGCATGGAAAACATTGATAGCTTCTCAAAAAGCTAAACCTAGAATTGCCATATGACCCAACAATTCCATTCCTAGGTATATACCCAGAAGAACTGAAAATAGGTATTCAAATACTTGTACACCAATGCTCATGGCAGCACTAATTCACAGTACCCAAAAGGTACAAACAAGCAAAATGTCCATCAATGGATGATGAATGGATAAACAAAATGTAGAATATTATTCAGCCTTAAAAAGGAATGAAGTACATGCTAACAACATGGAAAAACCTCCAAAATATGCTAACTGAAAGAAGACAGAAACAAAAGCCATATATGGTATGATTCCATTTACATGAAAGGTCCAGGTAAGTCCATAGAGACAGAAAGCAGATTAATGGCTGTCAGGGGCTGAGGAGAAGGGAGGTATGGGGAGTGACTGCTTAATGGGCATGGGGTCTCCTCTGGAGGAGACAAACATGTTTTGGAACTAGATAGAAGTGATAGTTGCACAACATGGGAATGTAGTAAATGGCTGAATTGATAACTTTAAAATGGTTAATTTTATGTTATGTGAATTTTACCTCAATTTAAAAAAATCCTCCACCTTTGAAGGATCAGTTTATTCAAGTCCTTCCCATCCTAATGGTCACTCTTTGGGTAATGAAAGACTGAATGGGGAGAAATTAGGAGGATGAAAATGACAGATGTCCACTTTTCTTCTATCTAGTTGATCATAGTGACGATAATGACAACGATAATGGTAATTTATGAAGAAAGGAGGCTCAGTAGGGGCCCCACAAGTCAGGGCAATACAGTATCCACAGCTTACCTGGAGCAGGACCATATTCCTCAGCCATCCTAAACCTTGAGCCACTGTGCCCCCACTGTTTCTGCAGCCTTGCCCAGAGTCAGGGCTGGTAAGTGATGGACCAGGATCTGCATCTGTGTTTGTCCAATAGCAGAGCCAACACTACTTTGACTATACCACAGCATCTCCCTAAAGTGGTGGTAGATCATTAAAATGGGGTCATTAGAAGACCTTCTCCCTAGACCTGTATGTAATAAGAATATTAACTATAAGTATTTAGCACATACGAGGCACAATTCTACATGACTGACATATATTAAGTTGTTAATTCCTACTGTAGCCCTGTGAGCTAGGCACTATTGGTATCTCCATTTCATAGATGAAGAAGCTGAGGAACAGAGAGATTACAATCATGCCCAAGATCCCACAGCTATCAGGGAGTAGTGTCTGGACTGACGCTCAAAGAAAAGGCTGCTGGCTACAAGGCCTCTGTAAGAGCTTGCTATGTGGGCACCTGAATGATTACTCCTGGCTCTTCTCCTCCCCAGTGGAATTCCAACATATTTATCCTTTGTTCTTTGCAGGAGGATCATGTCCTCTTACATCTGGCCATGCTGCCTTTGGCACCAAATCTATATACATACCCTGGAGCAGAGACTTACTGAGTTTCCTTAACAATATTTTCATGCAGTTTCCTACATTTGGGATATAAATATAAATGTTTCCTACATTTGTCTTTCGTTTGGCTTTGCTATTGTTTGTGGGATGAGCTCTCGGTGAAAGGACATTGAGACAGTAAACAAATAGCTTTGGTTCCAAAATTAAAGGCTTTCTTTGCCGCTGTAGGAATCTCTCTATTAAAAAAAAGATTCATTCTTTTTCTTGGGAAGTGGATGTGGGGGACTAATTCATGATTTTGTTTTATTAGTGAGTTCATAGAGGTCTGGGAAACTCATCTTGCATTGCCATTTTGCTTTTCTCTTCCTCCCTCTCCACTATCCCCCCAAAACAGTAATACTGTGCCATAGAGCCATGAATCTCCCTAGTGAATTCAGGGTATTGGGAATCTAGTTGGGGAAAGAGCCTACTAGCCTGAGGAGGAGCTGGATGTGGCCTCAGTAATATCTGCTCTAATACATTCCCCTTCCTAGTCGATAAGAAACTCAAGCCCCAAATAGCAAACAAATGGTCACATTTGTAGCTCATGGTAGACATAGAACTTAAACACTGGACAGCTTTCTAGTTCCATATCCAAAGTTCTTCCCTGCCCTGCCACCTTCCTCTTTAAGCTGCCTCTGAAAGCAGCAGAGCTCTGTTAAAGGAGTCCAGGTTTGCCTGGCAGAGGTTAGGCTAACAGCAGATCCCAGAGGTGTCAGAAGTCAGAAGGGCCAGGAGCAAGGCTCAAGGCAGGGCTAATAAAGCAAAGTCTTCAATCCAGTCTTCAATCCAGTGAATCACCAATTTCAGAGCCACAATGCCAAAATTCTTGATGGTTTCTTGAGAGAATAATTGCTCTGGAAATCATGCAAGATGGCTAAAGGTACAAAGTATGATGCTCTTTCACTGAGTACCCAGAGTATTCCTGTACTGGACAGGGAGCTTTCTGTGTATCATCTTATTTAATTCCCAGAACAATGCTAAGATGTATGTTTTATTAATCTCCTTTCACAGATGAGTAAACTAAGGCTCAGAGAGGTCACACAGCCCCCAAATATCATATACCCACAGATTTGCTTGACCCTAAGGTTAGGAAACTTCCCACTAAGCCACACAGCCTGGGGGTTCTTATCTCAGAATCCTGAACTTCTGCAATGGGCTCTGTTTTCTAAAAGGACTTTTTAAAATTTTTATTGGCATAGTATCCATTTTGCTAGATTTAGTCCTAATAGGACCAAAGGGAAATCCCTACGGGAGGGCATGGCTCTTCCTCTGACCTCATTTAAGACACCCTGGGGCCATGTCTATGTTCTTAAGGCACTCAACAAATCATCTGGAGGGTAAGGTGGTGGGCTTGTCCTCTCCTCTCTCACTGAATGGGTCATCCAAAAGAGATGCTGGTAGAGTGGCTAGGAGCAGGAACTCTGACATACCAGATATGGAATTTTGGACAAGACACTTGGCCTTTCTATGCCTCATTTACCTCATCTGTAAAGTGGGGTAATAATACCACCTGCCTCACAGGATTATTGAGAGAACTAAATTACTTAATATATATCAAGGGCACAGAGGATTTCCTGGCACACCATATGTGGGTGTTTGCTACTCATATGCTTTGGGGAGCCATTTCCTCTAAGTCTTGGGTAGGACTGAAAAAGAACCAGAATCCTGGAACCAGCTACCACTTTTATTGAGCACCTAAAATCTTTACTAGGCATGCTTTATATATACTCTTTCTAACTCTTACAGAAACCTTATTAGATAAGCATTATTATAACCATTTTACAAATGAGGAAACCAAGAATGTGGAAGGTCAAGTGATTTGTACAGGTCATACAACCAGGAAGTGGACAAAGTGGTGTCTGAATATGGTGTAGTCAGTTATATATATGTAGTCAGTTAGGCTACAGGGTCTTTCCACGAGCTCAGCTGTTTCTCTAAGATTGGGTTATTGGTTTCAAGCAAAAGCCATCTTTAAACATAGTGTCTTTTATTATTTTTCATTTTATTTTTTTATTTTTTTGGTGGCAGGGGGAGTTAGATTGGTAGTAAAAATTAAACAGAATATGAGCAAATGTACCCTAACAAGCCCCTTTGAAAACAAAATTAAGGAAGAAAATCATTGTCATTTACCAGCTGCTAGGCCAA